AATTAATTGTTTATTTAATTTAAATATGTGTTTTTTATAATAAATAAAATCGCAAAATTAATTTGAAAAAAATTGCTGAAGTAATCCGTTCATTTTGAAAAATCTTATTCAAAGGCCAAAGTTAGCTTAAGCAAAATTAAAAAAACGTGTTGTTTGTTTTTCTTTTTGTCTTAACAAGTGCGTACTCGTTCATCAATTTGTCGCACCCTGTATCCTATTACCTTTTTTATAAAATTTAAAATTTGCACCGAAACAATTTTATTAAATTTCATTGCACTTTTAAACAGCCTAAGTTACTAACGTTTTTAACCATCGATATAAAAAAAAAAAAATCTTAGGGAGGAAGGAGGGGGGAGAAAGGGGTAAACGCCATTATGATCTTTTACTTCACTATGGATCCGCCCTTATATTAGCCTATTTACAGTGCTGGGCAAAATACTTTATAAAGTATTTATAAAGTATTTTACCCAGCACTGTAAATAGGCTAATATAAGGGCGGATCCATAAAATACAAAAATACAAAACAAATACTGGAACAAAAAAAGTATTTTAAATAAAAATACTAATACTTCAAAAGTATTTAAATTAAAAATATTTTTTCAAAAGTATTTTAAATGCTAAATACTAAATACTAAATACTTTACGACTTTTAAAACTTACATCTGAATAAGCTGTTTTTTAAAGTTTTTTTTTACGCGCTCTCATTTCTCAAAAATAGTTATTAGTCATTTATACAACATTTATATTTAAATATCCAATATATTACCTTTTCTAGCCTTGCCTAGTTTTTAAACGTAAACTAGCCTTGCCTAGTTTACGTTTTCTATGAACATTTGCTTTATGATGCCTTTTATTCTCTAAAGCGATCCAAAACTGAAAGTTCTATAAACTAAACATAAATCCTTTTAAAAAAAAAGTTTGCTGTAACTAAGTAAGTATTGTATATTTCAATTTATTTTAACTTGTACTTCTTGCCTTTAATGTAATACTAAATATTATTATAATATAATATTATTACTTTTTTTGATCTGGCTACAATTTTGAATAAGGTACCGTGTTCAATGGCTATTATTATTTGCGGCTCTGTTATTAATTTGCGGCTCACTGCAGCCATCTTTTATTTAAAATTGCTGATTCCCGAAAAATATTTTGATAAATACCCTAATGAAACCAAGGTTGCTAAACCATGGTAGATGATTCAAGGTAGAATAAAATAAGAAATAATTCAAAATAAATAGTGGCAGAGTTACACTATGACATAACAGTTACTTTAGTTGTTCGTGTGTGGTGTTGTGAATATTTTAGGCGGTATTTGAATTACAGGTATTTTTAACTAGTACAAAATACAAAATACTAATCAAAATTATTTTAAGTACAAATACTAAATAATTTCAACATTAGTATTGAAAATACTAATACTAATGCAAAGAAAGTATTTAAAATAATACTTTCAATACTTAGTATTTCAAATACTTGGAGCATTGCTTATTTATTTATGAGAGAAAAAGATACAGATTAACAGAGCTACGATAAACTTTTTTTTTTACTTTCGCTTACAACTAAGTTTACATTAATTACTGTTTTAATTTTTTTCATGGTTTTTCCTATATTTATTTTATCATTTTATAAAATTTTTATTTTTTTAAATTAATTTTTGTATTATATATGCTTTAAAGGATTTTATTCTCTTTTCAGTTTATGGATTGTGTATTTTAATTTTAATTTGTTTCTTTTTTTTAGCGCATTTTTTAAACGCGCTCATTATCAAAACTTGCAAAGAGCCGAGGTCAAGTAGTTAATAAAAATACGATATGCACGGTCAACTATGGCGTGCGAATGCGCGCCTTTAAGCAAAGGCCTGATGAAATATTTGATCTTTTTACAGAATTATTCAGCAAGTTTTTATTAGTCTTATAAGTGATATTAGTTTTTATTTTCTTTTTAATTTAAAAAAAAAATAGAAAGAAAATTTTTATTATTACCTTACTAATTATTTAAAGTGTTTAAATTGCTGGTTATTCTTTTGAGCATTTTGCTCAGAATAATTTTAGTTTTCTCTATATTTAGTATTAGTTTTTATATTTATTTCAAAGACCATTTTTGTGATTTCAGCTGTGAAATAGAAACATAGAAATTCCTTGTGTACGCTAAGACATTTTGAAATTCCATTTTTACTTGTATATAGAAAGCAGGCTATCTGTTTTCTTTTAAGGAGGGTAAGTGAGGATAATAACAGCATGTTTGGAGGTTAATCTCAAATTTTAATTCTAAGTTTGCGAGTATGAATAATAGAAGTATCAGGAAAAAATTAGCTAAATTTCATTATAATAATCAATGAATTTTTTTCCAGAATTATAGTCACAACCTATAATATGGTTATTGTAACTAAGAACCCTTTCAAAAAAGTTGTATACATCACAAGCAGATAGAGTGTTATAATGTATGACAGCAAAAGCTGGAAAGCATGAACATCATAAACAATAACCAGATTAGACATCCTATGCAAAAAAAATGATAAACAGATGTAAGGAGAATTTTTGAAAAAAGTGGTGATTTAAGATAAAGTTGTGATTTTATATGATAGGGTGAATTAAGTATATCCGGTACCCGGTGGTGTCACTAGATGCTGGATATAAAATAGATAAAAGTCATCCTTTTAAAATAGACAAAACTCATTCCGATAGACAAAACTCATCCTTTTAACTTTTTTTTTTTTTGGTCTTAAATACTATTATAGACTTAATGGCTCTTTAAGCTTTATCTATTCTTTGTTAAAATTAGGCTTGATATCTTGAGTTAGTAGACATTTTGAAAAGTTTTTAAATAAATAGTTTAAATTAAGTACTTCAGCAGAGATATACTAATTGACTCTAATTAACGAAAAGGTAAAATATTATAACAATCAGAAAAAGAAAAAAGTGCGCATTAGTCTATTCTGACGTCTCTGCTAATAATCATTATGAATATATATATATATATATATATATATATATATATATATATATATATATATATATATATATATATATATATATATATATATATATATATATATATATGTATATGTTTAAACATCTTCGCTTCCAACAAGGCTGCAAGCAACCAATAGTTAGAGTTGAAAGTTGATAGATAAAAAAGGATAAAGATTGTAAAGCAAAACAACGATTGACAGACAACTTTAAGGATTGAAAACTATATTAATCAGCAAAGCAAGGTGAAAGAAGCAAATTTTGACAGTTCCTGAGTGCTCCAAAATAGTTTTTGGAGCACTTAGGAATTGTCACAGAAAAAGGATTAGACTTTAACTGACAAGTAACACAAGAATGAATTTTAATAGATGGCAAAAAAGATGCTAGCTCTTTAGACCAGTGTCCATTATAGCATCTGTAGAAAAGAAAAGCAACATTACGACGACGTGATAAATATTGGAGGTTGGGTGCAAGAGCAGGTTCAACTATGTTTAAAAGATGCAAAAACCATCTTGTCTAATAGAGAAAGAGCATCATTAGAAGATCTGCCACAGATATGGAAAAAGTTTTCATACAAGGTTGAATTTATGATTTATAGAGATAGAGAATAGAATACGGACTAAGAAAGTGTCGAGCTCGATATAGAACTTAGTAGATGCTAATTTTGCAACGGGTTTGATATATAGTTTTTAAGAAAGATCGGAAGTAAGAGTTAATCTTAGAAGATGAAGGGTAGATGACTCATTGAGTACATTACCGTTCTTAAATATAGGAAGATCTAATTGATTGCGACAATAATTGACTGAATAAGATTGAGTTTTATCTGAATTGAATTTCACAAGCCACAGTCAGTCCTATGTTGTAGTAGAAGTGATATCTTTTTCAAGCTTTAATGCCTTCTCAAAGCAATCAGAGGGTGTTAGATTCTTATCATGACAAGAATTAATGGCAGTATCATCAGCGAACAATGCCACATTGGATGCAAGAATACCTAAAAGATCATTAACTTAAATTAAAAAGAGTATAGGGCCAAAAACTAAAATTTGAACAACGCCTGAATTTACAGAATTTTATAAAGAGTGCTGTCTATCGAGAACAACTTGCACTACAATTGCAAAGGAAGAATTCAATATGAAAGATGTTACCAGATACACTGTAAGAAGAAAACTCATGGAGAAGACCAGCATGCCAAACTTTTTCAAAAGCTTTAGAAATGTCAAGAGCGATGGCCTTAACCTCTCCACCTTTACCTAATGCGCGATAAAACCTATCAGCTATTACTGTTAGCAAATCAGCTGTAGAACGAGAAGATCAAAATCCATATTGGTGATCAGAATTTATTTATTAGATTCAAAATAATAGATTAAGTGTTTGTTAATTAAAGACTCAAAAAACGTGCTTATGATTGGAAGAAGACAAATGGGACGGTAGTTAGACGAACCAGATCGCTCTCCAGAATTTTTGAAAATAGGGATAAAAGAAACCGCTTTCCAGCAGGCTGGAAACAAGACTTTGATAAGCACTTGTTGAATATTTTTGAAAGTATAAATGACAGCTCCAGACACCACTTGTGCAAGACGTTAACAGGTGTGTTGTCCAAGCTGTAGAAAAGTTTAAACAGGAAATCACTTTAGATAGAGAAGCTGGAGCGACACTAATGTCAAGCAATGGATCAACTTGTTTGACGGCTACATCAGGTAGAACACAACTAATGGAATCAAGAAATCATATCGATGAAAAATTCTTAACAAACAATTTCGCTTTGTCTTTAGGTGTCTTGTCCAAGTTATACAATCACAAAAACAAGGATGCTATAAACAATGATATTAATGTATATAATTTTGGTTTTTTTGTTACCTTATTTTTAAATTTTAAAAGAGCTATTTTTAAATGTTTTATAATATAGTTTTTTAGTAACTTATTTCTTTTTGTCATTTTGATTTGATTTTTTTTTTTAATGACCCAAAATTTTTCTTTTAAATTTTAATAAAGTGTGCAGAAATTTTTACAAACCTTATCAATTATATTTAGAGATCATTATCTGGTGATATTTCATTAACTAACTCTGAAGATGATAATTTGTCTGAATGCCCTGGATTGAGACTTGAAGTATGGTTCAAAGTTTGTTTATATAGTTATAATTTATTATCAAGCAATGTTGCTATTTTTTATTGTAATGTTTGTGTTTTCAAAATTAGGAAACTTGCGCATTTAAAAAAAAACAAAACAACAATTACAGTACGAAAAAAACTTTTTATTCTGAATTTGCTTTTTCAACAATTCATAAAATGCTGAAATGATTTATTTCTATTAAAATAGGGACAAGTAAAATTTTATTAATATTATTTTAAAGAGTTTTGAGGTTTAAAATACATATGAATTAAAAACAAAAAATTAATTACTTTTTTAAAATTAATTTAATTGAAAAAAAACTTCATTTTACCTTGATATTAGAGGAAAATAAAAAATGCAAGTTAAACTTATTAATAGAGCACTCAATTAACACGACGACCAATGATAACAAAAAATAAATTGCTGTAATGTATGTATGTTTATTATGTTGATTAAAGTAGTGTAAAATAATTTTGTTATGGCAATACTAATTTTGAATTATAACTAATGACAAAACTATAGCAAAAATAATTATAGTAAAGTTTATAACCATGACCGAAATTATAAAAATAAACAAAACAATTATTATTACTATAATGGAATCACTTTCACTATCATAATATATAATACTACTAAGGCGTCTAAAAAAAAGATAAATTAATGATAATAATAATAATAATAATGATAATTATAATTATAAAAAATTTAGTAATATGATAAAATAACAATTATAAAATTTAAAAATAGTAATCGTTAGATACTCAAATAAAAATTTCTTAATACGGTTTAAATCAAGAAAAATGTTGGTAATAAGGAATATTTTGTTACAATCTTTTTTTATATAAATGGTATTGTTTGGTTTCATTAATAAATACATTGATGTTTTATAAAGAGCTAGACATATTTAATAGTGTTGAAAAAAGAAGTGTGCAAATTAACATTTTCAGTACTTTGAGTGTAATGTTTATGTATATCACTTGTTTTAATAAAAAACTTATTAAACAAATTGGGTAGATTATTTTGAAAAAAATCTTACAGAAAGAGAAACTTATAAAGCTTCATAAGATTTAAATGAAGTTGAAGTTTTAGATTTTTTATTCAGAAAACCTATTTTGAATATTAGATTGTAAAGTAGAAAATGTCTTAGTTCTTGTAGTAGTATTTTGTAAACTGCTTATTCAATTAATAGAACAACGAATAGTAAATTAATTTTAGAATACGTTTAAGAACATAGCGTCGTATTAATATTTAACATACTATTGGCAAGTGAGAGTTATTTAATTTAGTTAAATTAGTTGATTGTACCATGATAGATTTTTGTCAAGATTATCCCAAGATTTTTTATATATTTAGATGGGAAAAGTCTTTTACCGTTAATTAGAATATTCACATTACCATAATCAATCTTTTTTTTAGAGGATAAAAAAAGATTAATTCAGTTTTGATATTATTTAGAGAAATATGGTTACTATTCAACCAATTGCACAAATGAAAGAGATCTGAATTAACTTTTTTATAAAGTTATGCTAGTGATTTATTTATGCGCAGAAGATTAGTGTCATCAGCAAAATGACAAACAATCAAATTATTTATAGAGTGAGGCATACTTTTAATATATATTAAAAACCGTAAAGGCCCTAGTACAGTAATCTGTGGTGCACCATACTTAATAAATTTATTTGTAATTGGAACCCATTAATCAAGACAACCTAAGTACGATTTTTAATACACAATAAAAACACTAGAGATACCCCATACATTTTTGATGTTTGAAGAATTTAAATGTATATAGTTAAACAAAAACCATGTTTTAGTTTTTTGAAAAATTTTAATTAGTTTTTTCATAAACTTTATTTAGTTAAAAAAAATTCATTTTACCTAAAAATGAATTTTTTAAAAAAGTCCCTATCATGACTGTTGTACTCATTAAAATGTATTGGTTTGCTAAAAAGTACGCAGTTTGCACTTTCCTGACTACATAAAGTTCTTGCCTTATGCGTAATTTTTAATTTACTATACTTTAGAAGTATTTAGTATTTTTAATTATTACATTTTTAATTATATACTTGAATATTTTCTACACAATAAAAATATCTTTAGCATATGTTACGCAAGACAGTTGCGTAACATTTTTTCAAGTAATTTTGGAAATTAAGACTATGATATTAATATTTTAATTCTCTCATAAGGATTTATTTAAAAAGCAAATTTGGACATTGAAAAATAGGCCATAGAGACCTAGTTATTTCAAATAAGTTAGCTTTATCTGTTTAATATTTTTTATAAAAGCCTTTTCATAAAAAAAACTTTTATTAAAATCATACAAATAAACTGTTTTTACTGCGGAATTAGACAAATAAATTTTTAAACCTGTTGTTTGTGCGATCGATATTTAATTAAAATGGAAACCGTCTTAATCGTACAAAAGGTGATAAAAGTTTAAATGGTTTCTATTCACACATAAAATAATAACGGAATTATAAAAAACAAAGCAAAAATAGCCAATATATCCATTCAAAACAATAATTCCAAAGATAAAAATTATTGAAATTTATTCGAGAAATAAACAAAACGATTTTTCTAGAGATAAAATAAAAAGCTTAAAAAAATTTAAAAACATTTTATATTCAAAAATACTAATAATAACAATTTAACTTGAAACATTTTTTCACTATTTTATACTTATAGTATGAAAATTATCAAGCTTCGGTTTGGAATTTTGAATACAACCAACATTCAGAACATTTCTTAAACTCTGCTGTGTAGGGACTTTTAAAATCAGTCACAGGAAAAGAAACTTGACCTAAAAATGGAACAAAATTATTATTGAATACACTTAATACACATTAATATGTTATGTACTATTAATATGTGCGTATTTATTTGAAAACTCAAAAATTTGACTAAACAGATAACAAATAAGAAACTTACTTTGTGAGGTTGTTTATCTTTTGTGAAAGTTTCAAGATTTATTGTTACAAGTTTGAACTAACAAATCTTTTTAAAAACCAAGGCTAAATACAAATGATCAAAATAAGATATACCTTTGTTTTTATTTGAAAACTGAATCTTTAGCTTTTAGTGAATGATCATGTTGTCATGTTCAGTAATGAAACTACCCGATAAATGTTTTAAATTATGGACCCCGAGGTGAAAGTATACCAAGTCATCTAGTCTATCAACAAAAAATAACACAACAATAACATCACAAAATTAACAAATAACATAATATATTACAGTAAACTTTAAATTCCTCAAACCTTAAAGGGAATCAAGAAATTTGCTTGTTAGAAAATGCTAGAGTTATTGGCAGTACAATCCAAAAAAATAACTCAAAACGAAATTTTAAAGTTAGTTTTAGTTAAGGTTTATTGAGTTATCCAGATTTTATTGTTCATATTTTAACTACTAACAGCACACACGTAGAAACACTGATAAAATATAAGTCCATATAGCCCTATTTAACACAATATACAAACACATAATACCATATCATATGACACATAAAAATACTTGCAAAAACTATAAATTAAGAACTTTTACAAATACAACATTTGCGCAATTTTTATTAAATGACATACCTAGTTTATGCATGTGTGTATGCAAATGTTTTGGAGGTGTTATGCAAATGACTTGTTATGCAAGTGTAATTCATATGATTTGGTTTTAGAACATGCTACGTAGAATTGTTTGTATGAAAACAAAGGCTTTTTGAGCTTAATAGCAACTTTATTAAATGTTTGATAATATAGCTATATATATATATATATATATATATATATATATATATATATATATATATATATATATATATATATATATATATATATATATATATATATATATATATATATATATATATATATATATATATATATATATATATATATATATATATATATATATATTAAATATTAAATATAAGTAAAACAATAAAACTATTGTACTCATTTAACTTTAACTTATTACATTGATTGATTGAAAAGAAATATTTGTATAAAGTTAAAATGCTTATTACATATTTCAGGAAAAATGCAATTAAAAAATAATTATTAGAAGAAGCTCTTTGTAAAACGTTTTTTGAAACTAAATAACCAATTCAATAATGTTTGTAGGCATCTAAATTAAGTTATTTGATTTTTTAACCTAAAGGCTTTTTAAAAAAAGGCTACAGTATTATAAAATAGTGTTTTACAATAAAAAGAATCAATTAATATACTAAGTCAAGTATAATCACAATAAGCTATAAGAAGTGCTAGAGCTATATATTTAAAAAAAAAAAATACAATAATAATATTACACTTTTGCTGTAAACTCACGAGCCAAATCATAACACTTTAAAGCCATGGAAACAACTTAATAACTAACACATAACATACATTGAAGCACATTATATATTTCAGGTTTTTACACATTTATGATAATTATGTTATCTAATATAATATTTAAGATCTTATAACTGATTCAACGATATTACAGATTAAAATAGATATAGTAAAGATTTGAGAATACCTTATCATGTGGTCAAAAATATAAAGTGAGATATTATATGGTCAAGCGTAATAAATCTTTTTTAAAAACTAAGAGTCAAACACGTACGAATGAGTAAACAACATCAAACTAAACATTGATTATATAAGACTAATTAGTTTGTATTTAGGACTAAAAGTTTGTCTAACAGCAAACCGATAACTATAATACTGGGACAAAGTCACATGATGTTCCAATGCTAAAGCAAATGGGTTTTCTTGATTATTCAAAGTTTTTAAGAGTTCTATTAACTCACTTTAAAACTATCATTACCAGGTTGCTTCATTCTGAATGACACTGCTACATTAGAATCATATATATTAAACTGGCAAAACGTGGGTAGGAAACCTTCTTCATACCTTAAATTTCCTACACGAGGCAAAATTTGCCCATTTAACCTAAAACCTAAAACAGAAATGCAATTATTTGAGGGATGAGGTATTTTGGCTTAGAAGGCAGCTAAAGAT